TGTGCTAAAGTGCAGAACCCTGTTAAATCATTGACTGGGATTTCAGAAGAAATGGCAATACAAATTCTCCCTTCTTCGCTAGCATTTACATCGTTTCTCCAAAAACTCTTGTTATACTCTGTACATAGAAATACTTTTCATTTATGGCCAAACAAAACAAGCATGCATTAAGAACTCTCTAACAGGGAACATTTGGAAAAACCTAAGTTAGGGATCAGCAAATTTTTTTTATAAAAAGTATATTTAGTATTTTAAGTGTGTGCCCCTGCTAGTCTGCATCATAGCAGGAAAGCAGCCGTAGACCATATGTAAACAAATGGATGTGGCTGTGCTCCAATAAAACTTCATTTAGAAAACCAGGCAAAGGGCCAATTTAATTCATGAGCCGCTGTTTGCCTCCCCTTGACCTAGGTCACAAAGCAGTTGCAGTAGTGGGATAGAGCATAATAATAATAATTGTAGTTGGGTGCTTGCCATGCATTCTGCCTCATTTTTCAATAACACTGCATGTTAGCTATTGCCGTAATTTGGATTTTCCCAGCTAGAAAGCCAAGGTTGATATTGGACCCATGACTTTCCTAAGGACACAAAGCAACTAAGTGCTGGAGGCAAGATTCAAGTCCAAATGGATGAACCCCAAAGCGTGTGGTCTGTTGGTAAAATATATCCCACTGCTGCCATGTTCAGAGCAGTTAACATCAAGCAGTCATGACAAGCAGTGAGTCCTTCGAGGAGAAGGGGGTCCACCCTGAGTCCGTTTACTAACAACAGCACTTGGGAATAAAGGAAGGAAGGTACAGGCAAGTACAGAAAGAAAACTCCAAGAAGACAGCCAGTGCCCACCCCAGAGGAGTGGTCCAGAGGGCTACACACATGTCCCAATTTTGTATCAATGCCAGTATGTCTTTGAGGTATTCAAATAATTCACCCTCTCTGGCCTTTTAATCTTACCATGTGAACATTTTCCGTAACCACGCCCACTGGCAATGGCCTGACATCATCGCGCCCTTAATGTTAAAAACCACAGAGTACTTTAATATTACAGATGCACTGTTGAACTATCAGCAGCACCCCGTGACCTCCGGGTTCAAGTCCATACACGTGAGGCCCTCGTGATCCATGGTCTTTGTCTGTCTTCCCAACCTCCTCTCTGCCTGTTCCCCGCAAGACTCGGGACCCCAGCCGTGCCCAACTGCTCCCTGTTCTCCGCACCTCATGCCTGTCCCAGGCCTTCGTGCATTTTTATTTCTGTCCTGAGAGCCCTGCTTCCCTATCCATCCCCTGTTTCACCCTTCACATCTCCTCAAGCCACAGTTCCGAGCCCCTGGCCATCCCTTCAGCATCCTTGCCCCAAAATGAGAGGTCTGGCTTATTCTGTCCCTACCCCTAAGATATTTTTCAGGATTGCATGGAATTTGAGCAAAATCAGTTGAAACTTAAAGAAATCAGTGAAATGAATCATTGGGAAAGTCCTTTGAATGAAGGAGTAACTAGCAATAGCAAAAGGAAAGCAAGAAGTGGGGGCATTGGTGGGAAGTGGGGAAATTGGGGGTGATATGTCTGAGGGGCTGGGTTGAGACGGGTGCAAAGAGGCCTCCAGAGCCACGTGGAGGAGGCAGGATGGGGCCAGCTCCTGGCATCCTAGGAAACAAAGGCAGGAAAATGCTGTTTGATGTTTCTGAGATCCTGGGCCCGGCTAGCTGGGGTGCAGTTTGGTTCCCACCTCTTGTCAGGATATCCGCTTAAATAGATCTGCCTTTTAACAGGCACAAAATAATATGTCTACAGGCACATCTTAGGTTAGCAAATCTTTTCTCAAAGCGGACACTGAGATTTTTCTTGCTTTTTTTACTGTGTGTCATCCCAGTACGTATGTCCATGAGCATTTCCTTAGGCCAGATTTGGGGAAGGCGTATTACTACCTCACACCCCTTGCAAACTGCCTTTCAAGGAGCTTGGGCCAATTCTCTCACCAGCAACACGGAAAATTAACTGTTTCCACTGACATTCTTCAGCACAGTCTTATTTTTTAATTTGCCAATCAGATGAGCAGATTTATTCTTGCCTCAAATTCGAGGATAAAGCACTGTCTTGTGAAGACTATGTGTAAGTGACCTATCAGAGATATTTTTTAATACCCCCCAATCCTCAAAATACTCCATTTCATCTCTTCATCTACTTTTTTCCTCTAATCTAAATCCTGCATCCCATAATTCCAGTTTTCGTTTTTGTTTTTGTTTTTATTAAGATCTTGATTTCTGGGTCTTGTGACTAAACTACCAAAAGGTTATCGCTGAAAACCTTGAATTTTATTTTGTTCATAATCTATTATGGAACCAAATCTCTATTACACTTTTTTTCATCATGAGAAGTAAATCTATGTTTCATGTTTTGTTTTTTAGCGAGTGATGCAAGAACTTTACCCAAAACAAGGTTTCTTTAGGAGGGATCTCCCCATCTAAAAAAAGTTTCTGCAGTTTCCTTACTATTGTCTTTGAAAGCGCATGTTTTCTAGAGCTAGAAACGAGCGTTCCCTTCACCATATACCCTGCTTTATATTCCTCTTATTTCATCTTTGGTGGCATCTGTCAGCAGATGCTCTGAAGTATCACTCATCAATATATCAAGTTTTATTACAAAAGAAATAGTTTGGGATTATCTCTTCTATCAAACATGAAGTGATTCTTGATTTCTGAAAGTCTAATTTGATGGCTAAGAAAATATAAGTCAAGGGCGCCTGGGTGGCTCAGATGGTTAAGCGTCTGCCTTCAGCTCAGGTCATGATCCCAGGGTCCTGGGATCGAGTCCTGCATCGGGCTCCCTGCTCAGTGCAGAGCCTGCTTCTCCCTCTCCCTCTGCCATTCCCTCTGCTTGTGCTCTTCTGTCTATCTCTCTGTCAAATAAATAAATATAATCTTAAAAAAAAAAAAAAAGAAAATATAAGTCAAAAGGCCTCTCTTTTCCGTATTAACATCAGTAGGTAAATTTTCTGTTCAGTTCAGACCAAAGGTAACAGCAACTTCCAAGGGCTCTATCTGGATATGTCCGTTTCCTTATTATGGAAACTGTAAATTTTGGTGCAGAAAATTTGTAAATACACTTTTGTCATAGTTTGGATTTTCTTCATATTCAGTCTTGACATCTCACAAATGAAAAAATTAAAGCTTATCACTTTCTTGAATTTGACATAAAATGAGAGGAATAGAGAAATAAAGAAAGTGATCATAATAGTATTGACTGATGTTACATTTCTTTGGTGTTACAGTTGATAATCATTGTTCATTATATTGCTAATTACCTCCATTGCCATTAACATTTATTTAATCGTAGTCCTATCAACAAAATGCGGTGCAATATACTCGATTACGTTCTAAACTAAGAAAATCAAATCGTGAAGAACGTGTGGATAATTGGAGAAATTTAAATATGGATGATATATTAGATAATAGTAACATATTGATGTTAAATTTCCTTAGCACTGTAATTATGTAGAAGACTGCCCTTTTTCTTAGGAGATAAATGCTCAAGAATCTGGGGGTGACATGTGTCCTAAAGTCACCAAAGAAACTGTGTCTATATTTGTGTGTGTGTGTATGTGTGTGTGTGAGGAGAGAGCAAGATAGTGAGAAAGTCAATATGGCAACAGGCTACAGCTGATTAACCTCCATGATGGAAATATGGGTGTTCATTGTACTATTCTTTCCATTTTAGTATAGGTTTGAAACTTTGCAAAACAAAAACTGGGAGGAAAATAACTCTGTTGAGTTAATGAAGGCAAATTTATATTCTGTCATGTTTGTGAAGAGCTTAGAGGGACAGGGGCGCCTGGGTGGCTCAGTCGTTAAGCGTCTGCCTTCGGCTCAGGTCATGATCCCAGGATCCTGGGATCGAGTCCCACATCGGGCTCCCTGCTCGGCGGGAGGCCTGCTTCTCCCTCCCCCACTCCCCCTGCTTGTGTTCCCCCTCTCGCTGTGTCTCTCTCTGTCAAATAAATAAATAAAATCTTTAAAAAAAAAAAAAAAAGAGCTTAGAGGGACAATACCTTATATATCTGAAGTAATCATTAGGCATGTGATTAGGAATGTTTCAGTAACTTGAAATAGCTACTGAAACACAGCTGTGCTGTGAGATAACAGGATTAGTGCACTACCTTTGTGCATCCCCTAAATGACCATTCTCATGTGAATTGAAAATACTCTCCACTCTGCCGAGAAGCTTCTCAAGCTCCAAAACACACTGTTACTGCACTGCCCTACAAAAGAAACGATGCAAAAATATCAGTCTGAATATTCTGGCCAAGTCAGGTCTACATTGAAGCACAGAAAAAAGGGATGTTTGAGCAGATCTACAGAGAATTCAGACAAAAGCCCACCTGGATGCAGTCTCTCCTACCAACAGGTAGACTTGCCCATGGTCAGCCGGATGGCAATTTGAAAAGCAACAGCGCGGGAGATCACATTCGCTTTGAGTCGGCCCTGCCACACAGGAAAACACTTACCTCAAGCTCTTGGAATGAATAATTGAGAGTCAAAGCCGGTTGAAACTTACTGTAATGGTACTCATCTCAAAAACTCGACCAGTGTAACTCAGTTCTAGAATTGTGCTGTCCCTGCCAAACTGTGGTCAGGTTTTTAAGCCCTTCTTTTCAAAACATAGAAGCTAAATCTGTGCAGCAGTTAATGCACGAGGGCTGCATCAATCACACAACTAGTCCTGGATCCCACCCGTCCAAATTGTTAGGTCAAAAAAAATCCCCCAGAAATGCCCAAAAGGTGAGCACGGGGAGCTCAGAGAAAGGAGTGTTTGACTTAATTGCCCTTTCTCGTCCCGCTCTCTGGAATGCTCGCTTCAACTCCCGCTCACCCCTGATTCGGTCAGCTAGAAAAGCATCTGAGATGTTACGATTGCATCTGGCTTCTGATGAGAACAGACTAAAAAGGTGAGAAGAGAGATGACCGAAGGGGTAGCACTAAGAGGGCCTGTTGCCTCCTTTGTCTTACCTTCACTAGCCAATCTGCTCCTTTCGTCCGGAGGAAACAGCAGTCAACCATATAGAGAAGAATGAGCCAGCCAGGGCTTTCTTCAGAAATGTTGGCAAGCCTTCCACTGGTAAGACCAAGAAACTAAGCTGCTCATGGCCTGGCCATTCTTCTTATAACTGATCCCATGGAAAGAGTTGTGTTTGCTTGAGTCTGATTTGTGCTCAAGAACAGTGGGAAGTCCCAGGAAGGGGGGAGGTAATAACTGGCAAACCCACATCGAGCCACAGAATGGTGTTTCTTCCCCTTTTGTGCAAAATGAAACCGATCTATGAAACTGTCTCTTGTTAAAAGAGTTGATTGCCACACTTTATATAAGAACTCTATCAACATAAGTTTACTCCTCTAACAGTAAATTCTCTGGGATCCCTTTACCAAAAGGGAGCCAGCATCAGATAGCATTTAGAAAATTCTCAGTTTCTTCGGGGATCTATAATTTTTGAGAAGTATTCTCAGATTTGTACTCACAAATTTAAAAAATGCAAATGAAAACTGTTTGCTCTCTCAAATTAACCAAGGTAAAAAAAAAAAAAAATGTGGTAACACCCTGAGTGGGCAAAATTATGGAGAAACAGGCACTCTCCTATGTTAGTGGTGAGATTGTAGACATTTCTAAAGGGCCATTTCCCAGTATCTGTTGACTTTTTTTTCCCAAAATTTTAAATATTCATACCCTCTGACCCAACAATTTTATATGTATAAATTCACCTGTCACATATTTATACCTGTGCAAAAAAAATGTGAAAAGGTGTTTGTTGCAGCATTAAGTAAGTAAACAACTGGAAAAAATATGCATAAATAGGATATGAGCTAAATAAATGTAGAGCTGTGTAGAGTTGTTAGAGTGATTGGCTTTGCATCGAATCATAGGAAAAAATCTCCAAGATAACGTTGTTCAGCAAGAACATATACTCCAATTTGTATATTTAAAAGAATATATATGTGTGTGTGTGTATATATATCTTTGCTTATACATAGACTATTTCTGTAGAGAGATCGAAGAAACTAAAAAGAAGCAATTGCCTTTTTAAAATTTTTTTATTTAAATTCAATTTAATTAACATATAGTGTATTATTAGTTTCAGAGGTAGAATTTAGTGATTCATCAGTTGAATATAACACCCAGTGCTCATTACTTCAAGTACCCTCCTTAATGCCCATCACCCAGTTGCCCATCCCCCCCCACCTCCCCTTCCAAACTATGAATATGTCCACTTAATGGGTGTGTTTTGTTTACCTTTGATTTACAACTTGCCTTAAAAAGTTTTATCTTTAAAAGTGTACTGGCATTTTATGTATGTTAGCGTCTCTGGGGATTTTCTGCATTATTTCATGGGATGTTACTTAGATCCAAGATGGAAAGGCAGGTTCCCACATGTGAGCCATCATACGAATTAGTGTTGAATCTGACCATTAAGAACTTAGTTGTGAGCAAGAGGTTGTCGTAACTTAAGGGCCAAATATTGTTTTATTTGTTTATTGTTTTATTTGAGTATAGGTTCAACCACAAGCAGATATACTGAGGATATTCTAGAATGGGTCACACCTACCTCCAGAAGCACTTCCTGATGGGTTCCCAGAGAGCTCACCCGCCAGTATCATGCAATACCGTTTTGGGGGGATTCTATCTGCTCTAGGTTGCGTTAACGCATGTTTATTGTTTCAAATAGAATATGCAGAATTTGTATCAGACTATTGATTTTTGTCTCAAGTCAAGCATTTTATGGAAATCATTCTTTGCAGGAAATATTTTCTGTCATCAAAAAGTTAGCATTTTGTTAGGGCGCCGGGCTGGCTCAGTCGGTAGAGTGTACAACTCCTGATCTTGGGGTCGTGAGTTTCAAGCCCCACGTTGGGTGTAGAGCCTACTTAAAAAAATTTTTTTTTTAAGTTGGCATCGTGTCAGGTTGCCTTACCATTTCTCATTTGATAAGACCTGAGCTTATGAAATTGGCTTTAGACTACTTTCTCTTTCCTGGCTGTAATAAAGCAGAATTATATCCTGTGTAACTAAAATCTTAGAATACGATTTTCTGTCATTTCTGCTGGATGGTAGGTAAAGAGTTACTGCCTTGATTTCTGTGTCTCTAACAGGATATTTTTTCCTGTTATTCAATTACCTTTCCTGGTGTCGAAAGTTCCTCCAAGCTCTTTCCATTATGTTTTCATCCATACTTGCCTCACCCCTAGTCCTCAGTAGGTTTCCTCCACGCTCTCAATTTCCTCAACCGTTGGTCTTTCTGTCACATCATACTTGCCAATTGCCAGTTACCAGTAAAATCTATTATTGCCTGTCCCATAACCAGAGAAAGGTGGATATGTGTATGTATGCACATACACACACCTGATCAGTTCACAAGCTTAATCCCTGAAACTTCAACACTTCCAAGACAAATTCTTTGTTTTCCTGAATTATGTTCTCCAGCCACGTACAATACAATGTTGTCTCTCAGTATCAAATGACTGACCTTAACCTACTTTCTCAAAGTTACCAAGTCCCGTTAAACAAATCTAATGACCTTTATCTCGGTCTGTATCCTCTGTGACGTTGCTATAGACTTTGACCCTGTCTACAAGTCACTTTTCTTTTTTAATGGTTTGTTTTTAAAGGTTCATGTACGTGGTAAACGTGTAAATGGTACTAAAAGGTATACAGTGAAAATTCAAGCTCTCTTTCCATCTGATCTTCAGCTCTCAGGTGCCCTCCCCAGAAGCACTTAGGATTGTCACTTTCTTGTGTATCATTCTGAAGATTACATACATCTTTTTTGTACACCAGTGATCGGATACTATATAGGCAATTTTGTCCCGTACCTTTTTTGTATGAATTTTTCAGTGTCCGTATGTGTAGATTGACATCCTTTTTTAACAGCTACACAGTCTTTCAAAGTATAGAATGTTCCAGTAAGAATGTATGAGTCCAGTTCTTTATCGATAGAACCCCTCCCTTAGGAAGGTTTCCCTACTACCACCCGGTGGATTTTGTGTCCTTGCACACTGCTCCTCATTCTCCTACCTCCCCACTTTCTCCTTTCTAAGAACTTTCATTGGTTTCCTATCAACGTTCCATTTCCTAGAACTGAAATTCTTGCTTCACCTCCTCAACCCCCTCTGTCCCTCAGTATCTTCTCTTGGTGAACTCAGCACTTGGCACACCTGCCATTATCTTCTCTGGATCATCTGTGAATATGTATCTCCAGTCCTCGAGGTGTCTCTCCTGTGATCTCCAGATTCTCAATTGTGGATATCTGACTGCTTCACGTAAATGAGGCCATATCTTTAATCTTTGGCCCCAAAATTTACATCTGTACTTATCCTGATAGCATTACTCAAGTGCTTTGAAATTCTCCCTAATTCCACTTTTATCCCTAATCTCTACAAAAGATTAATTACCAGTGCCTGCCAACTCGACTCAATAGACCAGAGTAGTTTATAACCCAATTTGAGCTGTGCCTCTAGGAAAAGCCAACAAAACAGAAGCCCTCGTGTCCACATGACAGTACATAATGGTGGAAGAATAAGCTTTTTTCATAGCCACGTATAACTTGTAGCATCTTTAAAAGCAATCCTGTTTTCCCATATTCATTCTCACAGTTTATCTTAGTCATTGTTAGAATCACTCTTTCCTGCAGGCACAATTAGAGTTTTATATAGAAAATTTTCATGCATTCCCTCCATAGAAGATTAATCTTAATTGATATTCCCTAAAAATTAACATGAACATGTTAGAGTTTCGGAACATGTTACATATTCAATGGAGTAAAATGAATATGACATTTAAAAATTCTTGGTTTATACTTCAGTAAGTCTAATTTATACCAAAGTTACCAAAGAAATCCATAACATAAGCTCTGGGGCAATACTGCTTATCTTGAGGATGGGATGACAGATTATAATTGCTTTATTAAGTACAACATTCTGAATTCCTATGAAGTTGTAATGGTTTGTTGTGCACTAGAGATTTTGTTATTTAGGATATAATTGATTGTAATGTGTACTGTTTGCTCTTGAATAACTCCCATTTTCCACTTCAGAGAGATTTTCGTTTTGGCATCAAATAATATGATTATTGCATTTGTAAAGTTTCTGAAGCATTTCGGAATTCTTTCAGTTGAAAAATGACTCAAAATTAAAATGTGATATAAATTAAAAGGGCAAATTGAATTTCATCCCATAGGTTTCATTTTAAGTCTGTGTGTAGAATAGAGAATAACTCATCTCATTGGCCATTACCCTGTAATTGGTATTAATGAAAGGTAGCAAGACAAGTACCCGAATGCTTAAGGAATTAGCAACCCCATGAACTATTTCGGCTCCTGCTTTCTAATTGTTAGTCTTTGCTATTACTTGACGTCTTCTGCCTTAACAATCTAGCCAAAAGTTGCTAACACCAAAACTCAAATCCCTCTCATTTACTCTGAAGTGACCCCAGAAATATTCGATAGTTTGGCTACAAATTCTTGCTGCTTTTTACCCATTTTTACATAACTGTGCCCCTCTTCCCTAGTTTTAATATTTTCCTCTATTCACGTCTTACCTCTCCCCCCAATCCAATGTTCAGGTCTTGGGACACAGGGACACTTCCTCCTCAAGCCAAGATAATGCTTCACTTCCTCTACCGTAAATTTGTCTTAAAGAGAAAAACTTGTTCTCTCCCTTAGTTGAGTAACTGAGAATTTCCATTTTACTGATGTTTGTTTACCTTTTCTTTGCAGCTCCTACAAATGAGTATTTGCAAGAACTCTGCTTTAGCCTCTTAATCATTTATTTCTATTAAGACCAAGAGGCCAAAGACTCAGCCAAATCTGTGGAGAATTTCAGTTTTTATGCATCAGTTTTAATCCTCAACCCAAGTGTATCTCATTATCCTTCCTTTTGTCTGCCTTTCAAACTTCTATCAAAGAAAAGAAAGGAGAAAGTTGAATCTGTTAGTTTCCCTTCCTACTTGTGCCTCCCTGAGGGACTGAATTAGAAGAAAAGGAAAGATATGTTAAACCAATAGGTAAAAATTGGGTTTTGAGAGAAGTTAAGGATTCCATTCTCTTGAGCACCCTTGTCTCTGCATTTTAGGATAATCTGAACTATAATACAGAGAATGAGCATAGTAAAACTTCAAATCCAAATGCATTTTCTCTCGCAGCCTGACTGAGAC